CATTCCGTATGCTTCAATACCACCCTGAATAATGCACCCCAAGTCTGACCATTCCTCACCCTCATCACTATCTTGCCTGAGGCAGATTGGTTTCCTTGCTTCAACCCTTGGATGGAAGAGGTAGAGGTAGGAGGACTGTGGTTCAGGCCAGACAGGCAAAAGCAGAAGACCCTATCTAGAAAACACACGAAAAGCAAGAGGACTGACTGGAGGTGTCACTCCAGAGGCAGAGCACTTCACTGGGACACATAAGGCCCTGGAAGCAATCCCCAGTACCACAGGAAATAGGGGAGAGGTGAGGAGGGGAGTAAAGTAGAGAGGAGAGGAGAGGAGGAAAGAGAAGGAAGAAAAGACTAATAAATACATGAAAAATACAGCATCTTTAGCCATACAAATCAAGACTACATTGAGCTGGGCATCAGTAGCTCATACCTATATTTTAGTATTCAGGAGGCTGAGATGCAAGGTTTGAAGTTAGAAGCCAACCATGGAAGACAAATCCACAAGACTCATCTCCAATTACTAGCAAAAAGCCAGAAGTGCAGGCATGGCTCAAGGAGTAGAGGTCTACCCTTAAAGAAGAAAAAAGCTGCACAAGAATATGAGGCCTCAAGATCAAGCTCCAGACTGGCAAGATAGGCAGATATCTAGAGACAGATAGACAGATAGACGGATAGACGGATAGACAGACAGACAGACAGACAGACAGACAGACAGACAGACAGACAGACAGATAGATAGATAGATAGATAGATAGATAGATGATAGATAGATAGATAGATAGATAGATATAGGTAGACAAACAGACAGACAGATAGATAGGTAGACAGAAAGACAGACAGACAGATACTATACTGAGATTCCTTCTCACTCTAGTCAGAATGGCAATTATCAAATAAACAAATAACAAATGTTGGTGAGGATGTAAATTAATGCAGCCATTATGGAAATAAGTATGGCGGTTCCTCAAAAACTAAAAACAGAACTACCCCACACTCCTGCTCTGCCCTTTCTAGGCATATATCGGAAGGAGTGCTAAGTCAGCACACAATGTATATATACATAGTAACAGTATGAACAAGAGTCAAGTGAAGGAATCAGCCCTCACTTGAGGAGAAAGAACACCTGGTATGCATACATAGTATAGCTTTAGCCATAAAGAACAAAATGATGTCATTTGTAGGAAAATAGATTAAACTAGAGATGATCATGTTTAGCGAAATAAACCAGAACCAGAAAGACAAATATAGAATTGCTTTTCTCGTATGCAAAATCTAGACTTTAAAAAAAAAGATTCATGGCTTGGAAGGTAGCTCCGTGGTAGAGTGCCTGGGTTCGATTCCTCAGCACCACATAAGCAGAAGCCAGAAATGGCATTGTGGCTCAAATGGTAGAGCACTAGCCTTGAGCTGAAGAGCTGAGGGACAGTGCCCTGACCCAGAGATCAGGCCCCATGACAGGAAAAAAAAAAACAAAAAAATTCATGCTGGGTGCTGATGGCTCATGCCTGTAATCCTAGCTAGGCTGAGATCTAAGGATTGCGGTTTGAAGCCAGCGCAGGCAAGAGAGTCCATGAGAATCTTATCTCCAAAAACTTACTCAGAAAAAGCTGGAAATGGCACTGAGGCTCAAGTGGTAGAGTGCTAGCCTTGAGCAAAAGAGGCTCAGAGAGAGCTCAGGTCCAGAGTATAAGCCTCAGGACTGCCCCCCACCCCAAAAAAAATCATAAGCCAGGCACTGGTGGCTCACACGTGTAATAGTAGCAACTCAAGATGCTGAGAACTAAGGATCACAGTTCAGTCAGCTGGGCAGGAAAGTCCATGAGAACCTTATCTCCAAATAGCCCAAATGAAAGTAGGAAGTGGAGGTGTGGCTTAAGTGGTAGAGTGCTAGCATTGAGCAGAAACTAAGGAACAACACCCAAGGGCTCTGAGTTCAAGTGTCAGCACTGGCATGCACGCACACACATGTGCACACACACACATGTGCACACACACACAATTATGAAAGTAGAAGGGGTATATGAGGAAAGGAACCAACAAGAATAGGAAAGGGAAGGGACACAGGAGAGGGTAATAAGGGGTGAATATAAGCCAAGTATATTATATACATATTTGAAAATTTCATAGTGAAATCCATTATTCTGCACTAACTGAATAAAGAAAAGAGCAGATCTGTTGCAAAGCCAGTTACACTTGGTCTGTCTATCCACACTTTGGCATGTGATTCCCTGTACTTCCCTGAGACTCTGCAGATTCCCCTCCAGCAAGACCCTCATTAGGATGTGGCCTCCTGACCTTATGAGCCAAAACCTATATTCTTCACACATTACTCAGTACATGGTATTAACTATAGCTCCGAAAGTAGATTAGGATGGGGAGCTGTTTTCTGAGCAGGCCTGGCGCTTCTAGGGGCAGGCTGTGTTAGAGTACTTGAGTACTCACTTTACTATTTTTTAATTGGACATTTACATTTTTCAAGGGAAACTTTTAAGAAATTAAGGTAAATAATAAGTGAACAAGCAGTCACAAAGGATGTAACTAATTCATATTTCAATCCCTCTAAAAAACCATAGACATAATCCTAGCTATTCAGGAGACTGACATCTAAGGATCATGGTTCAAATCCAGCCCGGGCAGGAAAGTCTGTGAGACTCTTATCTCCAGTAAACCACCCGAAAACCAGAAGTGGCACTATGGCTCAAGTGGTAGAGTGCTAGCCTTAAGCTGAAGAGCTGAGGGACAGCACCCAGGCCCAGAGTTCAAGCCCCAGGGCTGGGGTGGGGGTAATAATTTACCCATAGGTAAATTATTGTCTGTTCTATACTTGGATACCTCCTACCTAATACTTCCATTTTAACCATTTTAACAATTTGAAAATTCTTCCTGGGTCAAATCAGAATCCATCACTCTAATTTCTGCTGGTTTTCCTGAGACCTCCTATGACCTACCAGGAGCAAGGGTGATTTCTCTTCCACATGACTACTTTGCAACTCTTCAAGGCTGGCTGCTACTTCATGTTCACAATTTCCATGCAGTTCTCTACAAGTTTATCTTTTTGTGTGTGTGCTGGTACTACTATAACTTGAACTCAGGGCCTGGGCCCTGAATGTAAACCTACTCTGAGCTTTACTATTTTGAACCACAGCTCTACTTCTTGTTTTCTGGTGGCTAATTGGAGATAAGAGTTTCATAGACTTTCCTGCTCAGGCTGGTGTTGAACCTTGATCCTCAGATCTCAAGCCTCCTAAGTAGCAATTCCAGGTGTGAGCCACTGATGCCCAGCCCAACAAGGTTTTAGTTCCTGATTTCCAAGATTCTGGTATTATTTATCCAACTCCTACATTCTACAAATCAAATCATTTTCCATGTTAAAAACTAGTAAATAGAGACTTTTAGAAATTAATAGAATGAGACAGGTGCCAGTGGTTCATGCTGTAATCCTAGCTACTCAGGAGGCTGAGACCTGGAGGAATGTTGTTCAAATTAAGCCTGGAAAGAAAAGTCTTGAAAGACACTATCTCCAAAATAACCAGTAAAAAGTTGGGGTGGAGGTATGCTTCAAGTGGTAGAGTACCAGTGATAAGCAAGCAAGCTAAGCCAAGCACAAGGCCCTAAGTTAAAACCCTAGTACTATAGTGCATGCGTGTGCGTGTGCGCGTGTGTGTGCGCATACACACACACACACACACACACACACACACAGAAGTTGATAGAATGCCAAAGGTCTGACTAAGGAGGACCTTAGCATTCACCACAGAAACCACCTTTCACTTCACAGAGTAGACTTAAACCTTTTTGCCTTTGCCTACATACCCCATTATTAAGATACTCACCTATACTTCCTCTAATTAAAAAAAAAACTTTTGAACATTCTCTGAATACATATTTATAATGTATATGCATTACCACTGAACATTTGGACAAATACATTATGCATACCAGAAAACACACTCACAAATTAAAATCCTAAAAGGCAGGGATTTTGAGTAAAATGTAAAGAAGCTGTGTGGTATTTTCCAGCATCTCACCTGTCCTGGGCTAGCTCTGCACTTAGAGGAGACCATATGTTCACTACTGCAGTCTGTGCTATTTATCTACACTTTGCCCCTACCTGAGATTACTCATTTTCTTCAAACTAGTCTGACAGATTCCTGAGATTTATGCATGACACTTTTACAGGGAGGGACATGTGTGTTGGCTCCCTCCCACCTGAATGAAATACTGAGTTATCTCTTGAAATTACTGTGGACATATAATCTGTTACTCAGCTTTGAAGAGACGAAGATCCTTTGTTATAAGGAAAATCCCTACAGTAAACACAAATGCACTTGCCAGCCCCGGAGGCTCATGTCTGTAAATCCTAGCTACTTAGAAGACTCAGATCTGAGAACTGAGGTTTGGAGCCAGTCCAGGCAGACAAACTTGAGAGAGACCTGCCTTTGTTTAACCAGCAAAAAGCCAGAAGTGAAGCTATGGTTCAATTGGTAAGAGTGAAAAGGCCAAGCAAGGACACAAGGCCTTGAGTTTCAAGCAACAGTATCAGTATTCACATGAAAAAGTGTATTCCCTGGGGCTGGGAAGGTGGCTCAGTGGTAGAGCGCTTGTCTTGCATGCCTGACTGAGGCCTGGGGTTCAATTCCTCAGCACCATATAAGCAAAAAGAAAAAAGTTGGAAGTGGCGCTGTGGCTCAAGTGGTATAGCGCTAGCCTTGAGCTGAAGAGCTGAGGGACAGCGCCCAAGGTTCAGGCCCAATGACCGGACCCCCCCCAAAAAGTGTATTCCCCCCCATTCCTCTAATAAAGTGATTTTCATAAGCAAGGTAAATCATAGTAAACTAGGTATAAAATAATCAGAATTTAATGTACCATACAAAAAATACCTTTCAGTCCATAATTACTGAACAGAACAGCTGATCAGAAACAGTATCTTAAGCTCCGTCTCCAGTACTACAATCCCAACAAAACTTGATTCCAACCATCCACATATTAAATACTCACGTGCCCCAGTGCACTTTAATGGAACAAGTCTTCTGCATTACACCAAAGCCCTGCATTTCTTCAGTGTCATCGAAGTAGGAGTTAAGGAGTCCTAACCCTTCTGGCTCAGTAAATAAGTCAATTTGACTAATTCTGTAATCCTGAAAAACATATACATATACATACACATAAGACACAGCTAGTAATCATCTTATCACACATTTAATTCTATAGTAAGCTTAGTATTCTTTTTTTCTAGTCACTTTTCAAGTGATTAGAATGAGCCTTGCCATGGCTCATGCCTGTAATCCTACTACACAGGAGGCTGAGATCTAAGGACTGTAGTTCAAAATCCCACCTGCGCAGAAAAGTCCAAGGGACTTTTATCTCCAATTAATTATCCTCCCCCCTCCAAAAAAAAAAACACCTCATAAGCGAAGTTGTGGCAAAAAAAACCCTAAAGAACAGTGCCCAGGCCCTGAGTTCAAGCCCTAGACCAAGATACATACAAGAAAAAGAACAAGAGGTTGGAGATATAGCTCAGATGGTAAGGGACCAGCAATGAGTGCAGACAGTCAGAGAACAAGTTCAAGTTCAACAACAATAACAAAGATCGGGGCTGGGAAGGTGGCTCAGTGGTAGAGCGTTTGCCTTGCATGCTCGAGGCCCTAGGTTCGATTCCTCAGCACCACATAAGCAAAAAGAAAAAAGCCGGAAGTGGCGCTGTGGCTCAAGTGGTAGAGTGCTAGCCTTGAGCTGAAGAGCTGAGGGACAGTGCCCAGGCCCAGAGTTCAGGCCCCACGACCGGACCCAAAAAAAAAACAAAAAAAAAAAAAACATGAACCATAAGTCATATATTCAAGAATCCAGCACACAATCTACAAAGAAAAGGTAATTCACACCTATCAGGAGCCACAAACATGTTCCTGCCCCTCAACACAATACTATTCAGAAAAAATTAAACCTAGGAAATAAATTAGAAAAAAAGTACATTTTTAAAATATTTATTTTGGCTAGAACTGGGCTGAAACTCTGGGACTAGGTGCTGTCATTTAGTTCTTTTGCTCAAGGCTGGCACTCTACCACTTGAGACATAACTCTCTTTCTAGCTTCTTGGTGTTTAATTAGAGATAAGAATCTCAGACTTCCCTGCCTAGGCTGGCTTTGAACTTCTGATCTTCAGATCTCAGCCTCCTGAATAGGCATGAGCCAGTAGTATCTGGCAGAAAGTTATAAATTATTAAACACACAGTATGTTCTCACAGCATTATTTACAATAGTGGGGGGGAGGGGAGAAAGGACCTGAAATCTACTGATGCAGAAAATAATCAATGATGCTCCCTCACTTATCTGTTAGTGATGAATGCTGACCCTTTATTTCAAGGAAGTAAAATGTCTGGCTAAACCACAACCCAGATAGTGACGTGGAAAGCACTGACTAATCATTGCACAACAGGAGCTCTCTTGCCCCACATGCTCCACTTCCCTTACCCTGTCATCCAGTCTACTGGATCCACTCCCCACCAGGTCCTACCACCTTCCCCAGTCAGAATTCACTGACATGGTTCCTTGGGAGTGTGATCATAGAGAACAAAAAGAATTAAGAATTACATTATAAGGAAAAAGTAGACCAACATTGGAGTTGTGTTATGATTACAACAATAAAAAAGAAAAAATTAGATTATGACCACCAAAACACACAGAATTAAAAAGAGAAGACAGTATAGTAGATGGTAGGCTTATTTTATTTTGCCTTATTTCTTTAGAGAGAGTGTGTGTGTGTGTGTGTGTGTGTGTGTGTGTGTGTTACTTAGGATTGAATCCACAGCCTCACACTTGCTAGGCAAGCACTCTACCACTTGAGCTATTCCCCTAGCCCAACAGATAATATATTTACACACTGATTGTCAATATAATTTGAGGCATAAAAAAACAGGTGTAATATTCTACTAATGAGGGCATTTTAAGATAAAATTCATCTTATCTCCTTATCAATGTTATGTACTTAAAACTACTAAAAAGGGGCTGGGAAGGTGGCTCAGTGGTAGAGAGCTTGCCTTGCATGCATGAGGCCCTGGGTTCAATTCCTCAGCACAACATAAGCAAAACGAAAAAAGCCAGAAGTGGCGCTGTGGCTCAAGTGGTAGAGTGCTAGCCTTGAGCTGAAGAGCTGAGGGACAGTGCCCAGGCCCAGAGTTCAGGCCCCTCGACCGGACCCCCCCAAAAAAAAACTACTAAAAAAATCACTTAGAATACTATCATTAAAGTGACTGAGAAGTTCTGATCTAAGGAACAGGTGTCACTTTCTCCTGCCAAAAATGGTTAACTCAGTTTTAGAGCCTTTCATTTCTTTCCTCCATTTCTTTTTTTTTGGTAGGGGGGTAGGGGTGTCGGTCGTGGGCTTGAACTCTGGGCACTGTACCTTAGCTCTAGGCAAGAGCTCTACCATTTGGGCCACAGCGCCACTTCTGGTTCTTTGGTGGTTTAATGGAGATAAGAGGCTCATGGACTTTCCTGCCTGGGCTGGCTTTGAACCACAATTCTCAGATCTCAGTCTCCTGAGTAGCTAAGGTTACAGGCATGAGCCACCAGTGCCCGGCTCTTCCCTCCATTTCTTTTGTGCTTTACAATATCCAACTCTATTACATAAAGACAGGCTTTCAATTTTCTACTAGGAAGATTCCTGTTAATTATATTTTTTAAAATAAATCTCACTAGCCACAAAATAAAGATACCAATAACATTTTCCTCAGAACAAATATGACTTATTCAAGAAAAATCTAAGTTGAACTTTCAACTGAATGTCTGGATTATCTTTCCAAAATAGAATATGTGTAGACTATTCAAAGTAATCAAATCATGCAGCAATCAAAAACCAAGAAAAAAAATGGTTCATTAAAAATATCAGAGTGGGCTGGGAAGGTGGCTCAGTGGTAGAGCACTTGTCTTACATGGATGAGGTCCTGGGTTCGATTCCTCAGCACCACATAAGCATAAAAAAAAAAAAAAAGCTGGAAGTGGCACTGTGGCTCCAGTGGTAGAGCGCTAGCCTTGAGCTGAAGAGCTGAGGGACAGTGCCCAGACCCAGAGTTAAGTTCCATGATTGGACCCCCAAAAAAAAAAACACAGGGAAGTGGCACTGTGGCTCAAATGGTAAAGCGCTCACTTAGAGCTGAGGGACAGCACCCAGGCCCAGAGTTAAGCCCCACGACCGGACCCCAAAAAAAAAAAATCACAGGGAAGTGGAACTGTGGCTCAAATGGTAAAGCGCTCACTTAGAGCTGAGGGACAGCACCCAGGCCCAGAGCTCAAGCCCTAAAACTGACCAAAAAAAAAAGAAAAAACAAACACAGGCTGGGCGCTGGTGGCTCATACCTATAATCTAGCCTCCCAGGAAGCTGAGATCTGGGGATCATGGTTCAAAGCCAGCCCGGGGAAGGAAAGTCTGTGAGACTCTTAACTCCAATAAACCACCAAAAAACTGGAAGTGGTGCTGTGGCTCAAGTGGTAGAGCACTTGCCTTGAGCTGAAGAGCTGAGGGACAGCGCTCAGGCTCAGAGTTCAAGCCCCGCAACCAACAACAACAACAAAAAATCACCAGCCAGAATCTCAAGTTTGAGAACAGTAGTCTGGGCTACAAAGTGAGCTCTAAAAACAAGCAAATAGACAGAAATTATCATAAAAAAGAACTCATACAATCAAGTTACTAAACAAAATACACTAGGAAGATTGAAATAAGAACCAGGATGAAAGATTTACACCTTGAAGATTTACCATGGGAAAAAATCAAACCAATTAGAATGCATCTTTTCTAATTCACATAAGGCATGCAAATATTCAAATTATAGAACATATACTCACAGAGTACCAATAAAATATTCTCCTGATCATTTATTTCATAAATTAAACATTTCCTTTAAAATACAAACCAATCCTGAAATTTGATATCTATTTGTTGCATGAATGAATTCATATTTGCCATGACCTACCTGGACTACATGTCTGAGTGAACCAATTACCACAGGCTTATCAGACTCAGTTTCCTGGTTTCTTTCCAAAATATCTTCCACACCCCAAAGACCAGAGAGTTCTACTTCGCCTTCTTCTAGGGGGACAGAGTGTCCTTCAAAATTTGGTTTCTCATACAAAATCCAGCTAGGAATAAAACACAGAAATACCATTAGCCAATGTTTGAAAAGTTTTTATAACTCATCTATTTTGGCTGATGTATATTATGTATCAGTGACCAGGCCTCTAGCAACTAAAAGTAGCATGAACCCCATACAATAGACATTACTGGAATAATTAAACCTCTGTTAATTCAAGACCTATATCAGTATCTTGGAGAGTTTTATGGAGAATTCCAGGAGAATTTCAACTACCAACACTGCTAGTTAGGCGACTTAGAAATTAAATATAGATAGCTAAATAGGTTTACTGTAGCAATATTTTCCTTATCCAGATAGAAAATATTAATTTTTATACATGTTTTTTATTGTAGAAATACTCTACAGAGGGGTAAGAGTTACACGAGTAAGGTAATGAGTACACTTCATATCAAAATTGTTCTCTCTCCTTTGTTTTTCCCCTACTATCCCTTCTCTCCCTACCTCCCCAACTCCCCTGTCCCCCCACCCCAACCGAAGTTGTAGTTCGTAGAAAACATTAAGTTTAAAGGAATTTTATTTTAATAGAAAGGACATGTATGTTAAACAGAGAGTATTTTTAAAACATTTTTTCCCTCAGTCAAATACTGAGAAAAAATGTCTAACATATGACAGTGCTACACCTATGTGCTTATACTTTCAAAGAAACCTGGGCTAGGGAGTGGCTCAAGTAGGAAAGCACCTACCCTAATTGATATAAGGCTTTTGAGATCAAAACCCAAGACTGCAAAGAGAAAAAAAGAAAAAAGCCAACAAGGGTAATTGATTAAAAGAAAAAAAATATTTTGTTAAAAAAAACTTACAATAATTGGAATGAAAGCAATGTTTTTACTTTTCTAATGAATATATTGAATATATAGAAATATATGGCCAGGCGCCAGTGGCCCACACCTGTAATCCTAGCTACCCAGGAGGCTGAGATCTGAGGATCACGGCTCAAAGCCAGCTTGGGTAGGAAAGTCCATGAAACTCTTATCTCCAATAAAAACCATTAGAAAACTGGAAGTAGTACTGTGGCTCAAGCGGTAGAACGCTCGCCTTGAGCGAGAAATATATGAAAAAATAGAGAAATACACCTAATAGGAAAGATGTTACATGTTGAATTAAATGGAGACCAAAAGAAAAGTTTAGTTTTTTGTTTTTTTTTTTGCCAGTCCTGGGGCTTGAACTCAGGGCCTGGGTACTGTCCCTGAGCTTCTTTTGCACAAGGCTAGCACTCTACGATTTTAGCCACAATGCCACTTCGGGCTTTTTCTGTTTATGTGCTGCTGAGGAATCGAACCCAAAGGCTTCATGCATGCTAGGCGAGCACTCTACCACTGAGCTATCTTCCCAGGCCCAAGCTTGTTAAATTTTAAAATCATAAATGTCTAGAGCTCAAGCCTCTTTATTTCAAACATGTTTCTAATAGATGAGAAGTATTTATGCCAAATCAGTTATTTTTTTCAAATTGCTTTCTTTATTCAACTTCCCAAATTTTCCAAGAGGCAATTAATACTAGTAAAATAATTTTAGAAACACTCAAAGTATTTATATTTCATCTATTTTATTTAAACAAAACTATCTTTTTGTCCCCAAAACAGGGAACAGTTTAGGTTAGTTCTTTACCAAACTGTCACTTAAAAAGCTACCAAAAATGTCTTTAAGTGAAAATCTTATCAGACATTTAAAACTCAGGAGAGTGGCAGGCACCTGTGGTGCATGCTTGTAAGTAAGTATAGCTATTCAAGAGGTTGAGGACTGAAGTTTAAAGCTGGACTAGGCAGGTAAATTCAGGAGATTTTTTTTTTTGGTTGGTCCTGGGACTTGAACTCTGGGCCTGAGTGCTGTCCCTTAGCTCTTCAGCTCAAGGCTAGTGCTCTACCACTTGAGCTACAGTGCCACTTCCCATTTTCTGGTGGTTTATTGGAGATAAGAGTTTCATGGACTTTCCTGCCTGGGCTGGCTTTGAACCATGATCCTCAGATCTCAGCCTCCTGAGTAGCTAGGATTACAGGTGTGAGCCCAGCTTCGGGGGGGCGGGGGGCTTTGGGAGTTTCTTATCTCTAATTAACCAGCAAAAACCTAGAAGTGGAGATGTGGCTCAAGTGCTAGAGTGCTAGTCTTAAGCAAAAGCCAAAGCACTGAGTTAAAAACCAAATACAAGCACAGAAAACAAACAAACAAACAACAAAACAAAACTCTCACAAGCCAAGAGAGTATTATGGGCCATGATGGATGATATTCTAAAGCAATGTTCCACAGGTATATAAAGAAACTCAACTCTATTGTACTTTTCTGACTTTTCTCCCAGAAACATATATACCTCCTATAATCAGAATCATGACTCAGACTCTGTTTCTTAGCTGTAAATTCCTTATTGTACCACAAGCAGCATTTCCTGCAATTTGCCTGCTAGGGGCATGATCCTAAGGACACAGAGAGGACCAAAAAACATGAAGAAGCCGGGCACCGGTGGCTCACGCCTGGAATCCTAGCTACTCAGGAGGCTGAGATCTGAGGATTTGTGGTTTGAAGCCAGCCCAAGCAAGGAAGTCCATAGGACTCATCTCCAATTAATCACTTAAAAACTGGAAATGGAGCTGTGGTTCAAAGTGGTAGAGTGCTTGCCTTGAGCAAAAGAACTCAGGGACAGCACCCAGGCCCTGAGTTCAAGCCCCATGACCAACAAAAAAAAAAGCATGAAGAAGTACGGGAAATCCATAGGCTAAGCAAGGATGGCCCCGTGTCATACTTACCATCCTCTAACCACTTTGACGAGGATCACTGGAGAGAGGCTCCAGGAGGTGCAGTCCTTTATGTTTCCAAACACCTCGATGCACTCCTCCGAGACTTCAGGCTCTCTGAATATTACTACCTACAAGCAAATCAAAGGGCTAGTGCCAGTCCACACTCTGTCAAACCACAATACAACCCAGAACGGAAACAGAATTGAGTCTTACCTTCCCTGGTCTGGGATTAAGTTTACTTTGTAAGCTTCCTCTAAGTGTCTAGAATCAGACAAATAAAAACACAACAAATAATTAAAACGCTACACAGTAATCTTCTTTTCTCTCCCTCTGATCCTTCAGAGGAGGTCATATTTACTTGCCAATTTATCAGTTTTAAAACATGCCCATCCACCCAGCTTTATGCTCAAGTTATATTAAAACTCTCTCTGAATCTGGATAAGTAAAACTGCAAGCTTCTCCCATCCAACTCAATTTGCCATTTCAATTTCTCCTCATATCCACCAATGTTAGAAAACTCAGGGCCCAAGTCAGATTTCTGTTTTATATAACAGAACCAACTGTTAGACTATAATTCAAATAATCTCAAATAGATAAACATTAGAAAGTACTAATCACTTACCTACAAGAACCTGGATCAATTTTTGTGTCATGCACACACCCTATCTGGATGTGTAAATATTGTGTTGCCACAGTAACATCCACCATCACATAACAACTACTAGTCTAAATAAAAGTTGGTAGGTTATACTTTACAACACACATTGAACCGAGTATATTTAATCCTCTCTTTCTTTTTTGTCTTTACTGGGGCTTGAACGCAGGCCCCTGAGCTCTCCCTGGGCATTGTTTTACTCAGGGCTGGTGTTCTGAGCCACACCTCTACTTCCCTTTTTTGCTGGCTAATTGGAGAATCTTCAGAATTTTTTGTCCCTGTCTGGCAGATGCTCAGATCTCAGCCTACTAGGTAGCTAGGATTACAGGTAGGCATGAGCCACAGGTGCTGGGCTTAATCCCCGTTCACTGATACACAAAATAAGTATCTTTTATTTTATATGGCTTCAAAAGTAATCATTTTCAAGACCATCTGACATGACCAGTAAAACTAGAAATGCCTAAGATAATAAAAATGATAATTACACATGCATAAAATATTTCAAAACCTGGACCATGTCCTGTGCTGACGGAGATGCCTCTTCTAAGGCCTGTCTTTGATCTGACGACTCTTGCATCACACCAGTGGAACATGACCTCAGACCAGAGAAGGCCCACTGAGGCGTTATTATTACCTGTATGGCCTGAACCTAGCTATATGTATGTGTTAGAAGTAGAGAAAATAAGAAGCTTAACATTTAAAAACAAAATTTAGGTAAAACATTAAAAACAAGAAGAATGATGTAAGGGGGCGACACTGATGGAGATGCATTATATTTATAAATTGACACACTGAATTGAAACCTCTTGGCATAACTAGTTTAAAAAAATTATAGGGGCTGGGAAGGTGGCTCAGTGGTAGAGCCCTTGCCTTGCATGCATGAGGCCCCGGGTTTGATTCCTCAATACCACATAAGCAAAAAAGAAAAAAGCCGGAAGTGGCTCTGTGGCTCAAGTGGTAGAGTGCTAGCCTGAGCTGAAGAGCTGAGGGACAGCGCCCAGGACCAGAGTTCAGGCCCCATGACCGAACCCAAAAAAAAAAAAATTATAAAGAGCTTAAAAAGCCACAACAAAAACATGAAAAAATAAGACTAGCTATAGAGCTAACAAAGGCTAGAACCTAAAAGATAGTGTTGGGGAACAATCTTAGGGTCTGAACTCAGAACCTGGAACTTGCTAAGCAGGTGTTCTACCTCTTGGGTCATATTTCCAGTCAAAGAAATAATATGTGTGTGTGTGTGTGTGTGTGTGTGTGTGTGTGTGTGTGTGTATAGACATATGTCTCTGTCTAGAAAAATATTATGCATTGCTTAGAAAAATATTATTGTCTAGAAAAATATTATGCATTGTTTCTTTTTTACTTTATGTGATTTAGTTTTTATAGGGAAGCTGTGTGTGTGTGTGTGTGTGTGTGTGTATGTGTGTGTATTTTTTTTTTTTACCAGTCCTGGGGCTTGAACTCAGGGCCCAGGCATTATCCCTGAGCTTCTTTTGCTAAAGGCTAGCATTCTACCACTTGAGCCACAGTGCTACTTCCAGCTTTTTCTGTGTATGAGGAATCAAACTCAGGGCTTTCTGCATGCTAAGCAAGCACTCTACCACTAAGCCACATTCCCAGCCCTAGGCTTTGTATATTTTATCAGGACTGTCAGATTGCAGTTTAGTAACAAGTAATCTAAGAATAATTAAAAAGATCAAAGCTATAATGAATGAGAAGTAGGCCAGCAGAAATTTTGTGCTGGAGAGAAACAGTTAAGAATCTTAGATCTGTAGGTTATGAGTTGAAGCTAGCTAGGGCAGAAAAGGCCTTCTAGATTCCATTTCTGATTAATTAGCAAAGTGCTAAGCTGGAGGTATGGCTCAAGTAACAGTGTGCCAGCCTAGCACTTGAAGGCCCTGAGTTCAAACCTTAGTACCAAAAAGAAAAAGAAAATCTTAGCCAGGAATGGGAGTGCACGCCTATAATCATTTCACTCAGGAAACTGAGACAGGAAAATCACAAGTTCAAAGACAGCATAGATAACATAGTGAGACGCAAAAAATAAATCCACTTCTCCCACAAAAAAAATCTTAGGATTTTTTCTGAGTGCTACAGTTAGATACTCTTCTGTCAACGCTATTTTCATACCTTTTTATTATTTTTTTCCTAAGCTCTTTTCCTCAAAGTGTTCAGAGGCCTACATAGTTCTGTAACATGTGATAATATCATTGTTCTGAGGGCAAATAGCATTACATTTTCTGGCATTTCAATTTTTTTGTGTGTTAAGTTTGTTTCGAATAGAGTTCTGATAGACATTATCCTATCACCTATATAAGCAAAAGCTCTTTGAAGTTCTCAATTTTTTAATGTAAATGGATCCTAAGACCAAAAAGTTTGAAATTCACAAACATGGAAAATAGATATACTGCTGCTAGACACGTACATACAGATTTTTTAAGGAAGGTCTTGCTAAATAAACGAGGCTGGTCTGGAACTGGAGGTCCTCCTGCTTTAACTTCCTAATTGCTGGAGTGACAGGTATGTCTCACCATAATGGGCCAACTTTGGGTTTTGCAAGAGTTTTGCAGCCAGGCACCAATGGCTCACGCCTGTAATCCTACCTACTCAGGAGGCTGAGATCTGAGGATGGAGGTTCAAAGCCAGCCTAGGCAGGAAAGTCTATGAGACTCTTATCTCCAATAAACCACTAGAAAACTGGAAGTTGCGCTGTGGTTCAAGTGGTAGAGCGCTCACCTTGAGCTGAAAAGCGCAGGGACAGCGCCTAACCCCCAGAGTTCAAGCCCCAGGACTGACAAAAAAATTTTTTTTAATTTAAAAAATTATAAGAAGAGTTTTGCAAATCACATCGTATGACAGAATCACAGTAGAATCAACACAACCCACCGAACTCGCCACAGCACCTTGTCCAGGTGAGAAAAGGTGGCAGGTAGTTTCTGCAAGCTCCACTCACATTTCTAGAGAAACACTGCTGAGCTCTCCTCCTAATATTCGGCCGTCCTATTTCCTTGTCCTCCCTCAACTTGGATATGAGGTATGGCGGCAAAAGGGCATAAATTCACTTGAAAACTGATAGCGAAGACACCTGCTAGACTGGGGAGCAGAGCTCAGTGGTAGAGCACAAGCTTAGCAGGTATAAGGTGCTGAGTTTGATTCCCAACACTTAAAAACAACCAATCAGCCAGGCTCTGGTGGCTCATGCCTGTAATCCTAGCCTCTCAGGAGGCTGAGATCTGAGGACTGCAATTTGAAGCCAGTCCAGGCAGGACAGTCCATGAGACTCTTATCTCCAACTAAATGCAAAAAAAAAGACTAAATAGAGCTGCGATTCAAGTGGCAAAGCACTAGCCATGAGCTGAAAAGAACAAGAACAGCACCAAGCCCCAGGACCTACACATGCCTTCCCCTGCCCCCCCCCAAAAAAAAACCCCACAGAAAACAAAAACTACTCAGCTGTACAAAGAAACAAATAACAAAACTTATAGCAAGCCAAGTGCTGATGGCTCACACCTATAATCCTCAATACTCAGGAGGCTGGGATCTGAGAATCACAATTCAAAGCCAGACTGGGCAGAAAAATCCATTAGACTCTTATTATCTCCAATTAATGAGCAAAAAGCCACAAGTAGAGGTTTGGCTCAAGTGACTGAGTAACAACCCTGAGCAGAAAGCTAAGGCCCAGTGCTGGCACAAAAGCAAAAACAAAAACAAAGAACAAAGAAGATGGAGAAAAGATAACTCCCTCAAAGTCATATTTTACTGTACTCTTTCCAATATTAAAGAGCTAGTGGAAACCAAAATGTTTTATGCTTCAAACTGCAGGATAAAGAATTATCTCCTTGATGAAAGCTAACTCCTTGTCGACAGAAAGGATGTGGGATGTACATTACTGCTTCTGTGAGAATGAGGGAAATCTCACAGCATAGAAGAAAGAAGAAATGGTCCCTTAGCTGGGTGGGGCCTTCACAAACAGAGGAAGCTGCTCCACACATCTAAATTCTAAATACAGTGTTGTGTGCTGCTACTCAGAATAGGAAAGAAAAAGTCTCATTTGTCTGAACTCAAAGCATCAAATGTATACTCTACCAGCTACATATTAATGTGTAGACTACAAATGTCTTGAGAAAAGTACTTTCTACTTTGTTCTTGGGCCTTGATGGTTTCCTGTGCCTAGCTGGTTTTCAAATACGTGATGAGTAGAAAATAATTAGACATGAACACAACCACTTTCAAAGCACAGCGTAAGATTGCTCACTGTCCTTTCCCTCCCAGCTCTGTGAATACCCCAGGCCAGTGGTTGGTACTTACCGCTGGATCTGATAATGACATTCCAGAGAAAGAAATGGCTGGGTCATAGCGGCTTGGCTTGAAAAGACCGATGAAGTCAGTGTCACTGTTTCCGTGGTTTGGCAAGTGGGGCTTAAGAACACTCTCCACATGGTTAGCCTTTTCAATACCCTCATGGTTCCTCAGCTTGGAAACTTCAGAAAACTTCATTTCTGGCAAGTGCAGGTTGCTCCGGGAATTCAGCTCTTCTTTGTGTTCCTCTTTGGGTGGGTATTTTTCCATGTGGCTTGAACTTTTCAAGCCTGAACAAGATGGACTGGACGAGGTGAAGTTGAAGACCTGTATGGAGTTGTGGGGTGCCAGATGGGGCTGCTCTTTGTCTGAGGCACAGGGCGGGGCACCTTCCATCCTGGGCTGCGCCCCTGAAGAACATGAGAGAGAAGGGTTTTGCGACGTGCTAAAAGATGTGGTCATCGTATTGACTGACGTCACCGAGGGAGAAAAGACCTTATCTTGTGGCAAGGAAGACAACATGCTTGAGAAGAGAGTGCTTTTCTCTAGCCTTGATCTCTTCACTCCCCCGTTGCTGACATCCCTGCTCCCCTTGTCACTGACTTCAGGGGTTGCCTGAGACTCGCTTTTCCCGCCAGCATTGGGGTGCAAGGACTTGAAGAGGATACTCTGGTCCGCGGAGGCACGTTTGGGTCTCAGTTTAGATTTGGGATCCAGGTTGTCCATCAAATGCAAAGATGGTGGCGGTTCTGGCAGGCTCTCCTTCTTTTTCCCCAAACCAAAGGTGAACACATTGGGATCCAACACCTTTTCTAGATTATCCTCGTGAATAGGAGGCATGGCGAAGTGAGGGGCAGGAGAGTTGGGCATCCTGGCCTTCTTCTTTTTCTGGGGCACGCAAACTACACTGTCCATCTTTTTGATGATTTCAGTGAACTTTTCCATATCAGAAGAAGAATCAAAGACACTATCATCACTAGTGGCAGAAACATTCAAATGACTTGCAGGACTATCCTGGCCATTCACCACATTTTCATCTGGCCTTGGAGGCGTTTCTGACTGATTTCTGGTTTGGGGAGAGTTGGTGGGGCTGGCCTCCGCAGGCAGGGGAACCCTGCTGCTGTGATTTGGAGCAGGAGTGGTCAGAGATCTTGCAGATTCCGGCGGCATGATGTGTGAGCCTGGCTCTGCCACACGTTCCTCTATGTGAGGAGCGTCTGTGGGCGAGGTGCTCTTGTTACCCGCTACTTCCTCTTGCTGAGGATCACAACTTGCAACAGAAACCACTTCAAGTTCATTACTGTGGCAACTCGGCAACTGTGCTTCTCTAACTTCAGAGCTTTCTGAGATGATCTGGGAGCTCACGTCTTGGGTGCTCTCTGCAGGAAGCACGAAGGACCTGACCTGTACAAGGACCTTGGATGGAGCCTCAGGTCCCACAGCTTCTAGGCTGTGCTTTGGGGACAAAGGATGGTTGTCTTCTCCCCCTGTACCTGCAGAGAGTGGCACTTTCTCAATGTAAGGAGATGAAGGCAAGGTACATCCATTATGGCTTTCTGACTCTTGGAGGTCAGGGCACAAGTGGCTTATAGGAACTTGAGCACACCCATTTTGGGGACTGTCCACAAGGGGAAGAGAAGGCCCCTGGCATGACTCAGCTGGGGGCTGTGAGTCACAGAACACATCCTGTGGCTTTGGAGGAGAATCTTTGGCATCAACAATGGCAGAGCCATCCTGAGCTGTGTTGAGTTCAAGTCTTTTGCTGCCTGCAGCCTCTGAGTCGTCCTCTCCTGAGGGCATGGGGTCCGTGATGGTAGGGGCCTCTGGTTCTGAAACCCAGCCAGCATTTGTCTGCACATCTGCTTTGTCACCTTGGTTAGGCTGCGGAGTCAGGGCTTGGCCCTCAGGGAGCTCTTGGCCAGCTCCTCCAGCCACTGGGAGAACAGGAGCTCTGGTTTCTGCAGGGGGGTCCTTCGCCAGCACCCCATTCTGCTGGCTGTTTGGCACTGTTTTCTTTTCAAGTTGCTCCATTTCCTTGGCTTTCTTGGCTAAATTCAGCTTTGCCCTCCCAACAAACGTCTTATTGGAAGGAGGGATGCTCCTTGTGCTGCGAACGTCGGAGTGTTTGGGGGTACTGTTCATCCGCTTGTTTTCAAATAAGGAGATTTTGGTGGCAGTATTTCCCTTATGAACTGGCTGGCTGAATGAATTGTGTTCATTTCCCGAACTGTCAGAATTCTTGGGGGTTTTCAGACTTAGTTCCACACTTTTGGGTCTGGCAGGGCTGCAAGAAAAAAGCAGGATAGTTATCAACCTGGTTTTCAAAAGCTAATACACAAGCCAATTTGTTACAAAACTATAACACTTTCCCAGTATATATCATTTGCCATCTTTGTTTTGTTTTGGGGACAGAGCTTGTAGCCCCAGCTGACCTTGAATTCTCCATCCTCCTGCCTCAGCTACCTAAATACAAGAATTACAAGTATGTACTACCATGCCCTGCTTTTTATGTCCTGGGACATGAACTCAGGGCCTGGGTACTATTCCTGAACTCTTTTGCTCAAGGCTAGCACTCTACCACTTCTGGTTTTCTAGTGGTTAATTGGAGATAAGGCTCTCATGGACTTTCCTGCTTAGGCTGGCTTTGAACTGTAATCCTCAGGACTTAGCCTTCTAAATAGCTAGGATTATAGGCGTGAGCCACTGGCATCCAGCCAACATTTGCCTTTTTATGAACCCTTTAAACCAATCCTAAATATACTATCAACTAGGGTTTGTTTGTTTTGTTTTTGGTGCCAGTACTGGAGCTTTAACTCAAGGCTTGGGCACTGTACCTTAGCTTTTTTGTTCAAAGCTAGCACTCTACCACTTGAGCCACATCCCCACTGCCACCTTGAGTCTGGTTAATTGGAGATATGAGTCTCATAGACTTTTTTGTCCAGATTGGTTTCAAACAATTCTCAAATCTCAACCTCCCGAGCAGACAGGATTACAGGTGTACACCTGGATAACAACTATTTTATTAATTAATACTTATTTATTTTTGGTGCCAGTCCTAAGGCTTGGCAATGCCTCTGAGCATTTTTGCTCAAGTTCTACCACTTGAACCACAGTTCACTTCTGGTTCTTTTGGTGTTTAACTAGAGATAAGTCTCCTGGACTTCTCTACCTGTGTGGCTTTGAATCATGATCTTTAGATCTCAGCCTCTTGAGTTGCTAGTTGTGAACCACCAGTGCTCCGCTTTAAAAAATTTTCTTAATGTCTGCATAACAAAGTCCATCATACGGATAGACTTGAAGTTATTTACTAACTATCCAATCATTTGTTTTGTCACCATTTCCTGGGCAGTCACATGTCCTGTCTAATGGGACTGCTATCTTTGAATGTATAGTGTTTCCTTTCAAACAAACAGAAGATGCTGTCTGACCCCTGTTGGCTCTGCTCCTGGCTCTCACACTAACGTGAACTTGCTTATTACTTTACTTCTGGCCTCTGCCTTCTCTATCTGTAATAAACAAAAACTAAATGGCTTAGAACAGCTGTTTAGCACAGAGAAGTTGTTAATGAGGGCTGAAGGATGGAGTGGTGGTTTTTCTGGTTGAACTGGGATTTGAACTCAGGAGCCTCAACCTTGCTAGTCTGGTAGACAGGCTAATATCTAGCCCTGCCATATCTCTAGGCCTTTTTGCACTGACCATTTTTAGGTAAGGACTTTGCTTTCTGCCCCACTGTACACCCCAGCTGTGGTATGATTGCCTTTATGCTTCCTGTCGTCAGTAGGATCACAGGTGTGCCACCACGTCCAGCTTCCCTTGTGGAGCTAGAGTCTCATGGACAGTTCTTCTCAGACTGTACTCCAATAGCAATCCTACTAATATCCCATATGGCTTAGGATGATGGCACACACCACTGTACGCAGCTATGGTTTGAGAGGGATCTCATTTTCAACCTCCCAACTAACTAGGATTGCGTGCAAGAGCCACCAATGTCTGGCTTCACTTCTGTAGTTTGTTGTTATTTGGTGCCCATCCTGGGGCTTGAACTCAGGGCCTAGGCTGTGACCCTGAACTTCATTTGCTCACGGCTAGTGTCTAGCCCTTGAGCCACAGCACCACTCCCAGCTCTGAATAGTTTACTGGGGGAGTTAAGAGTCTCACTTTCCTGCCCAGGCTGGCTTTGAACCACAATCCTCAGATCTCAGTCTCCTGAGTAGCTAGGATTACAGGCATGAGCCACAGGAGCCTGGCCTCCACTATTGTTTCGGCTTCCCTTTATGTTGTATATATCATTTGTATATAGGCTTTCAGAGAAGGGTTCCAAGGGTTAAAGACAATAAGGAAAAAAAGAAAGAAGAAAAACATTGGTCTAGTGGTTAGTAAAATAGAAAAGTAACCACTCACAGTCATGACTGCCAAGCACTTGAGAGATGCTTCAAGCTAGCTGACTTACTGCACAACTTTGTACATTCTCTTTTTGAGATGAAGTTGAAGCCCCACAGCTAGTGACAGGGACCTGATTTGTAATAGGTACTGTGGTGTCAGATGCTGCAAGCCTCCCCACTGAACAAGACTGCTCTGAAGTAGCTCCTCTGGTTGTCCCCATCTTATATCACTTGGTCATCAGGAGATCAATAAGATAATCAGGCTTTAGAGGCCACTTCATAACAGAACAAAAGGTGAGAAGACACAGAAACTGGCCTTTAGGAAGGTTGGGCCTGGGATGCCCCAGGAGGAACAAGCAGTAGACATAGGAGTTAGTAGAAAGCCAGGCAGTCAGGGAATTAAGACCTCAGCAGCTTGCAGATGGCAGGATGCGCTTATAAAGCCAAACTTGCTTAACAAGTAAATGTTGGGGGGGGGAAGGTGGCTCAGTGGTAGAGCGCTTGCCTTGCATGCCTGAGGCCCTGGGTTCGATTCCTCAGCACCACATAAGCAAAAAGAAAAAAGCCGGA